ATTATTATTATTATTATTATTATTATTATTATTATTATTATTATTATTATCATCAACTGGAATCTGCCCTCCTATAGCTTAAATTTGTTAGTCCATGTCCTTCCTATTCTCTGAAACAATAGAGAATATAAGTATTTGAATTCTATTATATGCTACAGTCTTCTCTTTTCAAAGCTAAAGCTTCAATGTCTTTGTGGGTGTCATCCACATCACTATTTTTTTTAAACCTCTTCCAGCACTCAACATAGGACCTGAGGAAAGGAAAGCGGACCTTTCCTAATTTTGAAACAGTATTCTGTTTCACTATTCACTTTGTGCTGTGGCATGAGGTCATGCTGGCCACACCACAGAAATATCTTCAGACAATGCTGGCTCTTTGGCTTAGAGAACAGAGATGAGCGCTGCCCCCTAAAGGCAGTCACGGCTTGTGGGATAAAACCCATGGAGACACCTTTACCTTTTTATTCCTTTGGATGTAGCCTAAAACCTTTTGCAGCCATATCACATATATTATTCTTACTCAACTTGGCAACCAACCATCGCTGTCACAAATGCTTTTACAAAGCCAGCTTGTGTGAATGGCGCTGAAGTTGTCATACTGCAAGGTTGCAAAGATGGTGCTGCAAGCCTCCCTGCTTTCTCCCACAGGTGTGACCATGATGGCTGTGGGAAAGCCTTTGCTGTTAGCCATCATCTGAAGACACATGTCAGGACACACACTGGTAAGACTTCTGACCCCCTGGATCCTTTTATGGCAGCTTAAGAAAGTAAACATGTTTGAGTGAACACTGATGGGGCCTACTTATTTGATATTTTTGATAAGGTGTGATAATTTGCTACATTAGGATTCTGTTTACTAAGTTCTCTGCAGTGAATTTAGAAATACGTCTGTTGTAAGTATTCAGAATTGTGGGTCTGCTGGAATCCAGAGATCGATGGACTTGTACCTTTGGTTTGATTGATATGCCTGTTGATTTCTTCCGCTGTAGGTGAGAGACCTTTCTTTTGTCCCAGCAATGGGTGTGAAAAGGCCTTTAGCACGCAGTATAGCCTCAAAAGTCACATGAAAGGACATGAAAAAGGATCCTCATACACTTTATTCTCCAACAACAATCTCTCTGAGGTGGGTGTTTAGTTCTTTAGTTAAACATTGGGTAACTAGACTCTTCTTTTTTTCTGGAAGTCCAGCTCCTGCAATCTTTGCAGCTGAAATTTCACAAGGAGCTATGGGTGCCAAGTAAAACTCTGCCTCCCAAATAAGTTGATAATTCACTACTGAGCAGTACAATAATATTTATTTCTGATGCTAGGATTTTGGATCATATAAAAAAATAACGATAAGTATAGGTGGTCCTTGACTTTAGACTTTATTTAGGACTGGGTTTCTGGAAATTCTGGTTACGGTCGTAAGTTAAGGCACCTAGGTGAACGTATCTTGTTTTGCAACATTTTTTACAGTGGTCATTAAGTAAATCATTATTAAATAAATCCACTTTTGTTAAACAAATACTGCAATCATAAGTATGAAGTACCGTATTTATCGGCGTATAACACGCACAGGCGTATAACACGCATCTTCATTTTAAGGGGGAAATTTCAGGAAAAAAAATTAAAAAAAATTCTGCCTGCCTGCCTTAGTTTCTGGTTGTTTGGGAGCAGCTTCGGCTGAGAATAATAACTATTCGCCTCTTTTACTCAGCCGAAGCTGTTCCGATTCAACCATTAACGAAGGCAGGCAGGCAGGCAGAACGGAGCACTGCGGGCGGGCGGGCGGACGGGGTGGGGGTGGGGGAGAAACGGGCGCTTCAGGGAAGCTGTGGCGACAGGAAAAGCCCCCCCCCCCCGCTTCTTTGAAGCAGTTTCTTCCTGTGCTGGTGGAGGAGCGAGAGAGCGACTGAGAGAGCTGACCCAGAGAGAAGGACAGGCTTCGGTTGCTTCCTCCCTCCCCTTCTTTCATTTGTGTCCTTGATCCCCGATCCCAGCAGCATTCACCGAAGGCTTCTTAACATTATATCGGCGTATAACACGCATACATCATTTGCCCCCTATTTTCAGGGGGAAAAAAGTGCGTGTTATACGCCGATAAATACGGTAACTACAATTTCTTTATTAATCTCAGATGTTCAGCCAAATTCCAGAAAGAAAGGGAAACAAAGTTCTCACAGTAACCAAGAAATGAGTCTTTATTCGTCCATATACTGCTCCGGATTCGGGTAACACCAAGCATCAAGATGATATTAAAGTCAGCTCTGGCGCATCTTGCAGCCAGAGCTGTATTTATACACCAGATAATAACGTAATGTGTTTATCTACCATCCGGTGGACACTACTGCTTAATTTCTGGTCACTATGTAACCCCCAGATACTGTGCATTTGTCTGTTAATTATCCACCCTCCTTTACCATACCCTCACCACGTTATACTCTCCATATCCCACCAACGCCCTTGTGCCCGCCTAGTGAATATCCATCCCCACAAGGTCATTATTTTAACAGTCAGCATGTTCATCGTTCTGCCGATAGCCGCCCACAACTTGTGATAATTCAGCATCTGATGTTATCAGGGCTCGTCAATCTTCATCGGCAATGCGAACCCCATGTCGGTTGGCTGGCATGTACTTCCTAACGCGGTAGCACCTTTGGACGCAGTAGACCGCTCGGTGTCACGGCTCCAGCATGCCGTGGGGACGTGACAATTAACCTTTCTTCTGTTCCTCTTAGGATTTTATCTAACTCTGTTAGTTCTGTGTAAAAACCCTGTGATTTCGCATCTTTCTCATATCTAGACTGTATCTGGACTCGTGAATACCATGTTATATCAATTGCTTGCTCACTCATTTCTTCTTTTGTTTTGAGTTCCCCTTTTTCATTCAAAATGTCTTTGTATCTAATAATATTATCCATATTAATTATATTTGGATGAGTTACTGCTTCCATTATTGAAAGCCAGACAGGTATCCTCAAATAATATTGTTCTTTGGTTTTCTCCCACACCAACATTTGTGCGTTCCTTATATAATGTCTCTGAAAATATTCATGTATCTTATTTTTACCATACCACAGGAAAGCATGCCACCACAGTTGTAAATCACATACTTCCAAAGTCAATAATCTTATGTTTCTCAATACAATCCACTCTTTTGTCCATGTTAATACAGCAGCCTGATAATACAATTCCCAGTTTGGTAGTCCGAAACCTCCTCTGTTTCTTGTATCTTGCATCATTTTCAAACCAATTCTTGCTTTTTTCCCTTGCCAGATATACTTATGTATTATTTTATTAAGTTCCTCAAAATATTTTTTCCAGCTTTATCAGTATTATTTGGAATAAATACAATAATCTTCATACAATGTTCATTTTCATTGGTGCTACTCTTCCTACCAATGATAATTGCAGATTCTTTTTTCCAGATCTATTTGAATTTGTTTCAACAATTTATAATAGTTATCTTCCTTAATACATCTTGCTGTCAGCTGAATCCCTAAATATTTAACTTCCTTTACAATTTGAATATCTATTCTTTTTGTTTGTATTTTTGTTGTTTGTTTTTTTGCTTTTCCGTTACGTTTTTAACTTTCATTTTCTCTTTGTTTATTTTCAGGCCTGCCACTTCCCCATATTCTTCTGTTCTTTTTATTAATTTAGTCCCTGTTCTTAATGTATCTGCTAGAATAAAAGCTAAGTCATCCACAAACACTTGTAATTTAAATGCTTTTAAAAAGGGGGGAAAGAAAATTTTTCTTTAGCATATCTTTTGCTTTACAAATATCAAACACTGTTTCTTTATATCGTTCTCCAGTGCTCATCCCAATTCTGACTTTTCAATCATTACTAGTTTTTTATTGGAATGTGTGATGCTCAAATTTCTTCTTTTTTGACTGCCTTTGGAGCCATTGTAGATTAAACAGTATTTATAAAATATTTGTAAATAATGCCAATTTCAAATACCAGTCATGGAAGACCCTTAGATTTCGACCAACACATGAGACAAAACACATGGACAGGGATACTACAGGTGCAAATGTGCAGAAGCAATGGTTCTCCAATCTGCTTTATCAAACAGATTGTCTATTATCGCAGAGCAAAATCCAATTACAGATTTTGTTTGTTAAGTCACCTGAATGGGGGTCTGTAAAACTGAGACTTTATTGCGTAGTCTCAACTTTATTCCTTTAATTCCAGCAGGATCCACAGAAAATCTAATTAGAACTGAATGAATGAACAAGGAGAACAAACAGGAATACTGGCAGAGGAATCCACTGGGTAGAGGAAAGAGTAAAATTATGGTCAGAGTAGAGCTTCCAGTTCTCAGTATTGCATTGACAAACTGAAGCTTATCAACAGCCAAAATTAGAAGGGCCTTGGAGATTGGTTATTGAAATATTTACAATATTTAATACACAGCCCATTTACATAAATTCAAGACAGTAAACCCAGAGACATAAAAAGCCATACAAATTTTAAAAGGGGCAATATTCCTAAGCAATTTATTACATATGACAGCAGGGGTGGGATTCAACTGGCATTACTATCGGTTTCGGTATTTGCGTTTTGCTTTGCACGCATACGTGCCAGATGCATGCTGCGCGCACGTTTACTACACCATTAGCTGAGCCACTGGGACAGTTGATAAGCAGTGTGCGCGGGTGCGCAGCGTTTCAAAAAACACTTTTTTCCCTGTTTTTTCAACCTCAGCTGTGCCGCGCAAAGCAGCTGAGGTTGAAAAAGCAGGAAATAAAGGTCAGGTAAGAGCCTGGGCGGGCAGGTGGGCCAAATAGCAGCAGACACAGAACCGGTTCGGTATCTGCTGCTCTTTGGAGCTACCGATTCTATAGAGCTGGGCAGAACCAGTAGCATCCCACCCTTGTATGACAGCCCTCATCCTATAAACCCAAATACTCTGGTACACCCAGATCTTAAGTATCTGCCTAAAGCCCAGGAGATTAGAAGCATCTCAACCCTCAGGTGGCCAGATCTTGCAAGACATGAAGGCCTCAAAAGGGAAGGTGTGCCACTGATCCTTACCTGACAGTGGGCAAAGCCTTGCCGTTCCTCTCTGACTTCAGGTGGGTCAAGCTGTGTTGCAAGGGGTGGTCCCAAAAGGGTCTGGGAGCTGAGCTGAGGCACAAGGGGTTTTAAAGGTGCAATGAACAGCCTTCGAATTGAAATGTATTTGTAAGTAGCTCGGGTTGGTAGTCGGGCTATTGGTCTGAGCTCCAGGATTGGCAATTTGGTTGCAAGCATTTTGTCACCATTCGAGGAGACATCGTCAGTGCATTTTGAATTGTGTTCGTCTGACAGATTGCCAAGTTCAGCGCTCAGACCAATAGCCCAGCCTTTGAATTGGGTAGAAATGGGTCACCAATACATATCTGTAGGTAAACCAGTAGGAAATAATAAGTCTGAGAAAGGAAAGGTACAGTATAAATAAAAAGAGAAACGTATCCAAACTAGTTTACATCAACAGTATTTTCCTTTCTTAATAATTTTATTGAAGTTTCAATAAACACAGTAAAGGTTAATACAAACTAAGCTATTGCCCTTATCTCCATTGCTTCTTCTCCAGTTTGTATCTAACAATCTAGTCCCCCTCTGGTTTCTGTATTCACTCTTTACTATCTGTTTCTGTATGAACAGTAATGATGTCCTTCCAATCCTCAAGCACATCTTTATTTATTTATTTGACTTATTTATGCCTATCTCGCCTCAAGACAACTCAGGGTGGCTTACAAGATGGCAGCCAATAAAACATTGTAACAATAATAATTTACAATTAAAAAGATGGGGAGGAAGGAAGCAGGATGCACATGGAGGGAGATGGCTACCTGTTTGCTTCTAGGTGCAATTCAAGGTGCAATTAATTGGCCACCTCCAGTGTGATGCAGCCCTATTGGGGCCCCAAGCCAACTGGCAGAGCCACGTCTTCAGGCCCCTTGCAAGGTCAAGAGTGGGAAAGAGTCTCCCCCCCCCCCGGGGGGGGGCAAGATGTTGCAAATGGCAGGAGCTGCAATAGAAAGCCTCTTCTGCTGTACCCCGCCAGATAAAAAGGTGTCATACTCCAATTAGTAACTACAGGGGAAAAATTGTTTAATGAGAAAAGATAATGTGAAATTGAAACAGGACAGACAAAAGTATAAATATAATGATTGGAAAGACATTGAAACTTAGAAAAAGATATATAATTGAATTTACATATGAGATAATTAAAAATAAAGTTGAGAAAATAAAGTTGGGAAAAATTATGGAGAAAATGTTAAAATAGTAATAAGAGATGGAATAGAAGACAAAGATGAATATGAAATTGAATTTCTGTCTGTATGAAGAAGTGATAACCCGGGATCATGCTATTCTCAAAAAAAGATGTTTTATTTGCATTATGTTTTTGTGAAAACCCAAATAAAATTTATATTAAAAAAAATTGCAGATGAAACCAAACTGGCAGGAATAGCCAACACCCCAGAAGATAGGCTCAAGACCCAGAAGGATTTTGACAGACTGGAACACTGGACCCTAGCTAACAAAATAAAATACACTAAGGCAAAAACAAAGCAAAACCCTGAAATGCAATGGTATAGAATAGATGATACCTGGCTCATAGTGGTAACTGCGAGAGTGATCTAGGAGTTTAGGTGGACAACCACTTTTTGGCAGCTGCAGAGTGCTGCACACTATTCCCACACTTGGAATATTTAATCTACTTTTTATTGCTACAATATAAGAAAAGATGTTGATAATGCTAAAAAGAGTTCAAAGAAAAGTAGCAAAGATGATTAGGGGACTGGAGGCTAAAACATAAGAATGGTTACAGGAATTGAGTATGTCTAGTCTAATGAAAAGAACTAGGGTGACATGATAGTTTTTCCAATATTTGAGGGGTTGTCACAAAGATTAAGCACCCGAAGGTAGGACAAGAAGCAATGGATAAAAAAGAATCAACCTAGAACTAAAGGAAATTTGCTGACAATGAGAATAATTAAATCAGTGAAAGGGCTTGTCTCCAGTAGTTGAGGTTGCTCCATCACTGGAGGTTTTTAAGAACAGATTGGACAGCCATTTCTCCAAAACATTATAGGGTTTCCTGTTTAAGCAGGGGCTTGGACTAGAAGATCCCCAAGATCCCTTTCAGCTCCGTCCTTCTGTTATTCTGACTTGAGTTCTAGTCTAGGCTTGGCCATGGAAGCCCACTAGGTGTCTTGGGGCATGTAAGTAAGTCATGTTGGTTTTAGACAGAACAAAACAAAACATGATTTCAAAAAAGCAACTATATCTGACTGCAATATAGGAAGAGTTTAAACCTATTTTCTACCAACTGGCATTTTAACTTTTCAATTGTTTTAATGAAGAAAATAGTTACTTTGGAAGCAACTTGATTTGTGGGACTTATTTAGAATTTAAGGATGTCACTATTGTCATTTATTCACCATTTTGGAAAGAAATATTTGACCCTCTCTGTTTAGGCTAACAATTTGCTTTTTAATAATAAAATACCAAGAATCCCATGACAACTTAAACAAATGTTGTCTGATTTTAGCCTTTAATCTGCAACAATGTGTTTTTGTTGAAGTAAATTGACTATACATCTCTTGTAAAATTATTCGAATGACAAGTGCTTGCACAGGTCTGATCAATATTTCAAAGAGACTGTAAATCTGAATTTCCAGAGGCAGGGATAGAAAGGAGTAGTGAGTCTTACCTCCTTCTTACCTCCTTTTGGGTTACGTAGGCCTTTGGTGAGGGAAACAAATCACTTCATTGTGCTTGGCATCTTTGATCTTTATTTTTTATTGATTTTGTAATTTCATTGGTGTTGGATAATATCAGCTTTACCAGGGAAATCAGACAGGAAACATACCAGATGAGTTAATTCTACTTTATCGTAAAGCTACATTAACCAAATCTTGCAGGTCTGAAAATACAATTCATCTGTTATAACCTGAGAACTTAGGGAGGGGGGTTCCTTCGGAGCCTCTTGCTCTATTCACTATGCAGCCCGCAGCTCTTATTGGAAGGCTCTTCCCTAGGCAACCTCTCTTCACATGATCCTCCAAGGTCATTCCCTCATACCATTATATGAGCATATACGTGCAAATAAATACTTTAACTTCTTTGATAGTTGTAAGCTGCTCAGTCATTGAGAGTTGGTGACCTACAAGTATAAGTAAATAATCATTTTATTTGTGTATAATCTCAAATTCATGCTGGTAAAAACAAGGAAGTCAAATCCCTCCTATTTTGACTTGCCAATCTTTTCTCTCTCTTCATGGCTTTTTCTTCTGATTTGACCCTCTGTAAAATTGCTGGCTCCTTTCTTGGAGTTGGGCAATTCACTGTAGAACTCAGGGCAGGTTCATCACTCATGCTGTTTTCTGTAGTTCTCTTCTGCCCCAAACTCTCTTTGAACAATCCCTTGTGTTTTACAAAAGTCAGAAGAATATTTGGACTGCTTCATATTCTGAAGTGAAGGTCTGATGGCTGCTGAAAAGTGTGATATTGGAGATGGAACCACACTTGTGGCTGTAATTTGGGGTTTAGGGGATTTTGGCCTTTGGACTGTTGAATGTGTTAGATGTGACTGACCAGAATGGGGCAGGGGGCACTCGGTTCCCCTGCCCTGTTCTGAATGATCCTTCGCTTAATTCAGGCTCCCTTTCCTCTTCTGCAGGATACAAACCACTCACTCTGCCTGAGCGACTTAAGCCTTATGTCCACAGATTCAGAACTGCGGGATAATTCAGATCCAGTAAGCATCTCTTGCCTTTGGTTATAATAGCCCAGTAGAGGGTGTCTGGTATATGAGTAGCCTCTTGCCATCCCTTTGGAGGAGGACCTGTACTTTCTAGTCAATGATACTTGTCTATCATGCTGCAGAAAGCAAGCTGGCTTATAGGATTTCCCCAGCAGAGTACTGCAAACAGCCTCTTCTTAGTTGTCTTACCTGGGCCTAGAGCCAGTGCTGGTGCTGAGCTTGGGCAGCAGATCACTGAGCTGGGATGCCTTATGTCTACTTCCTTTATGTAGGCACATGGACAAGACCTGAGTACGATCTCACCAGCAAGCATCTTCGAGTCAATGTTCCAGAGCCCAGAGCCTCCTCCACATCAGGAAGACTCTCAGCACACAGGTACAAGTTCACTTGGCAACATCATATTAGCAGTGATCTTCAGATCTGAACAAGCTGTCCAAGGCTCAAGAAGAGCTGGCTTGGCAGCCCCTCAGAGCCCAGTGCAGTTAAAGAAACTCCACCTGGGAATAGAAGGAGAGATTCCATGTGCTGTGTATCTAATGCTCTGATGAAGAAAGGTGTCCTTTGGGAGCAGTGAGGAATCTTTGGGCTTGACTGCCTGGAAGGAAAATGTTGGCACAGGCTGACTGATATGGGATGTATCGGGGCCTGCCTTACCAGAGCAGTGTAGGCACAGTAGTGTGTCCTCTCGGAAGGAAGCAGGGCAAAGTTTAAGAGTGGGGCACCTTTCCTGTGCAGCTGTGAGAGTATCCAGCTATGGCTTTCCTGGGTTCTATCAGGATCACCACCTCCCGGGCAGGCCTCAGGCTACAGATGGATTTGATGGTCCCGATGCTTGCTTGACAGATGCCTTGATGGGAGATTTTGGTGGTGATACTCAGCTAGCTCCAGCAGCCCAGCCAGCATCAGGAGAGACTGTGCCCTTATCTCTGCCACTTGTTCTCCAGCTTGGCATCTCTGAGCCTTCCCTCCAAGCACTGCCTCCTGCATCCACGGGTGCTCAGCCAGCAGCGTACAGCACCCCTGCCAGTCTCCTGCAGCCTCCAGAAGTGCCTCCTTCTAACAGTACACTTTTGGCAGCCAATCCCCAGGGCTTCCTGCACCACCTTCAGAGCTCTGCACAGCCCACGGGCGCTGGGCTTCCTGGAGTCTCAGAAGTCACCTCTGGACCAGCAGCTGCAGGTGCCCCTGAGGTCCTGCCCAGCAGAGTTCGGACTGTGCCTGTGGGAGGAGGCCCTGCGCTGCCCAGCAATCCCAGGGTTACCATTGCTCCTTCACAAAACCCAGCCATTTTTCAGTCCAGCATCATCATGGGAGAACAAAACCTCCAGTGGATTTTAAATGGTGCCACTGGAACACTGCAGAACCAAGAGCAAATGGTAAGTCCCAGAGGGGGGTTGTGTTGTCAGAGCTGTGCAGGATTACAAGAGCTCAGAGTATTCTGCAGTGGGGAGCTGCAACCTCTCTCCTCACAGGCTTAACCCCCCCCCCCTTTTTTTTTTTCTTTCCAAGCCACAGCCTCCTGTTGTAGAGAAGGTCTTCTTCACAACTGCTCTCCCTGTGGCTGGTGGTGCAGGTAAGCCACATTGCCTGAACTCCACGTTCTTTGACAGCCCCCCCCCCCCCAAAAGAAAAGCTGCTGCTGAGAGTGGCAGCGAGAATGCGGGGGGGGGGGGGAGTGTCTGACCAGTGGGCTCTGGTCTTCAGCCATGTGATTTGAGGCTCTCTGCATCTCCTTCCTGAGGGAAGCCCATTGTCTGGTAGGTGTCCTTCTTACTAATGCAAAACAGGAGGCTCCACTGTACACTCTGAGAGACGGAGGGGACATAAGGGGTTTCGCTAAGGAGCAAAGCTGTGGGTTGAAAGAGGATATTTATTTCCATGAACATGAAATTGATGCTGGATAATGCAAGATTCTGCCTCGGGAAGAGCTGCCGAGGTCAGGCTGTAGCCTGAGATGTCTAACCTCACCAGCAGCTTCAAGCTTACAAAGCTACCTAATGGGAGGCGAAGTTGCTAGCTAAGCAGCAGTGATGGGCATGGAAAGAAGAGGTTTTTCTCTGAGCCTCACTTCATGGGCCATTCTCAAAGAAGCAGCCAGGGCCTCTCCACAGAGTGATTGCTTTCTTTCTCTCCAGGGAGTCCAGTGCAGCAGATTGGCCTGAGTGTGCCTGTGATTATCATCAAGCAGGAAGAGGTGTGCCAATGCCAGTGCGCCTGCCGAGACACAAGCAAGGACAAAGCCGGCAGCAAAGGCTGTTCCTCCCTCCTCTTGAAGACCTCGGGGAACCCACTGGCACCAGGGCCACAGGACTTCCCCAGGACGGTGGCCAGTACGTCCACTGTTACTGCTAGCTATTCGTCTGTGTTGCCTCCTGCTGGCCAGCAGAGCACCCTACTGGGCCACCCGCCTGGCTCCCAGAACCAGTCCCTAAGTGCCATGGAGGCCTCCCGCTTTCTTTCTCTCCAGACCTTGGAGACGGCCTCTCCTCTCGTTCCCCTTGAACCTCTCTTGCAAGGGGAAGAGAGACTCGCCTTGGGCAACAACTTCCCTTAGGGAAGCCCTGGAAAGCAGCAGCAGCAGAGATGGCTGAGGGCCAGCTGCCTCGGAGTGTGTCATGGGATCCCTTTCTCCCATGAGGAGACACAGCCATGCCAGCTCTGCCTCCTTCGTCACTTTGGCTCATAGCAATGTGGGCGTAGGAATTGGTCACTTTGGAAGCAGGGGTGGGCAGGCAGGCTGCACCTTGCTTTCAGGAGGGTGGGACGGATTGCTCCTAGGCCTGGGGCTGGTTCAGAGTAGGAGCCCTGTAAGCAGGGAGGGGAAAGAAGTCAATGTTTGTGTGAAAACAGGGAGACGGGGGTGGGGGGGACCTCTCCTGGCAGCAGAAGCAGAGAGGCGTGGAGATGCCCTCCCCACAGCCGCCTCTGTCTCCTTGCTGTAAAAGGCAAATGGTGCGCATCACGATCAGACTTTGCACACGAGCAAAAGGGCTGCTGGCTCTTTCCTCTTACCGTTCTGCCCTTCTTGGCAACCAAGTGCACTGCCTGGGTGTTTACATGAATTCAGGGGCTAAAAGAATTTGCACTGTTCAGCTTTATCGGAATGACTATCTCGGCATAGAGCAGCTCTCGCTAGAAAATGTTCCTCTTAGATTGGCTGACTTTAGGGGGTTCAGGGAGGTGCTTAGGGGTCTCGGTGTTGGTCCATTGGAGCAACCCACCTTGGTCTGGCAAAGCAGACTGTCCTTTCTCCAGCAGACTGTTGGGGTGCAGTGAGACAGGCGCCTTTCCTCTTAACTTACTCAGGGTAAAATCCCAGTGTAGAATGCCTGGAAGGTTTCGGGGAGTCTCCTTTCTAAAGTTTTGTACATGTTTTTATTTTGTCACATCCGCTGTGTTTGGATTTTCTAGTAATCCTCTTTTGTTCCCAGGACAAAGGATCTTGGCTCAGAATGCCTGTCCAAGAGCTTTTCTCAAGCCGAGAGGCAGGCAGGGTGGTCAAAAAGCAGAGACGGAAGAAGCAGGATCATTGTCGCTGTGATTAGGCTGTGGAGTGGAGGCGACTGCAAGCCCCCCTGCAGGTTCCCTCCTGGTGCTGCTGCTACTGCTGCAGGAGGTGGACCGGCTGGTTGCTGTTCCTCTGGGAGTATCTGCAGTTCACTCCCTCCTAAGTTAAACACAGACAAGACCCCCCTGAATCTCGCCCTGTGCCTGTCAGGATTGCGTAGTTAAGGTGCTTCTTGTTGGCCTTGGAGAGCTACTCTACTGTCAGTTGGGGTGGGGCTTAGACTAGCATGTCCCTGCATGGATTTTGTTCATGTTATAAGAGCATTCTCTTTGCTTCATGCTGCCTATTGGAAAGGTTGCCCCCCACTCCCACCCCTGTGACTTTGGGAGCCAGCTGATCCTGTGGCTTTGCTTATGGGCTGAGGGTTGAGTAACTTAATTGTACCAAGACTCCAGGGAGTGGAGTCCCCATGGACTTCATCTCAGCTGTGTATTGAGGGTAGGAACAAGTCATCAGAGCAGGGCAAGTGCTCAGTTTCTGGGATATGAATGTCATCTCTCGGACTTTTCAGCAGTGATGATACAAGCTGGGGAATTCTCTGATTCATGAACATGGAAATGACTTAAGTTTTAGAAAAACCTGCTCTGAAGTCTAGTGTTTGCTGGCAGTTGCTTCTGCTATTTAAGTTTAGGTAAGGAAAATAGTTCACTGGGGCTGTTCTAGTTACACTTACTCACTTGCCTCTGAAATGCACTTTAGTTCTCTTTCAGCTGGTGGCTGCGATGTCATTTGTAAATAACTGCTCACAGTCCTTGGGTATTTCTCTCCTTTTGTTCTGAGTAAAGTATGTGGTGTGCAAAAAAAGTACTTAACTTCAGTGCAATACATTTAGCTAGAAGTGTCCACATGCACTCTGTGAGTGTAGTTATATGTATCTATATGTGCGTGCATGCACACAAGTGTGTTTCTGTGGGATCGATGGAAGGGGCACAAAACCATCTCTGCCCTTTTCTGACATATGCATCTTTAAGCAAATGTCCAGTCTATGCAAAACCTCCATTAGTAGCCTGAGCTGAAAGGACTCGGTCAGATAAGAATCTTTCCCATTTTTGTCACTGCTTGGAGACCTTCCCAGCTGTCCTCCTCCTCACAAGGGAGGGAAGGACCAGGCTGCTCTTTGCTGATCATGAAGCTGTTCTGAAAACTATGCTTCTGCCCTCTGAGTGCTCTGCCACCACCTGCCTGCCTTATTTCCAACACACCAGGCGTTCCAAAATTTCAAGGTACCAACAAGAGACAAGTTAATCTTGGAAGAGATGGCAGTAACATTGGTGAGTTCTTATCTATTAAAGCATGGGAAATCTTGTTTGGAGCATCTATTGGCCCAGGAAGTAAATGCTATCTCCTATCATATCCTTTGCATTCGCTTCAGCAATCTAAAACTAGCATTTCCTGTTTTTAGCCAATATTTCCTGCTAGTGATGGCTGGTTTTTCAACTTCTGCATTGTTTATTGTTTCTGCTTTGGAGTTTGTTCTGCACTGAAAAATGCCAAGGAAACTGGATATATTTATATATGGTGTGTCTGTGTGTGTGTTTGTGAAAATGGGTGGAAATGGTATGTTATCCACACTGTGTTTTCAATAGTGTGCACGCTGGCCAAACCCAGTTTCTATGCAGCGGACACTTTCAAGTAAATGCATTATATTTTCCTTATCACTTGAGTGTTTTAGCTTTTCTTCCCACATACAGTCTTCATCAGTAAAGTCCAGGGAAGAACGATTATTGTTGATGTTCTTATTTTGTAATGTTATTTGAAGTTTTTTTTTCTTTTGTTTTGCAGTGTTATTTCTTCACAAATACTAAATACTGGCTTAGATTATATGGGCAAAAAACAAAGCACCATTCTATCTAGCCACAGTCAGAATTTAGGGGTGGAGCTAGATGTGGGACTCTACTGAATATCAGAAAACAGTATAAGCTTCTCTTCCGCTTTTGGACTAGTCCAATTTAGGATTAAGGCATACCAGGAAATAGATATTTCCCATTGTTCCGATCATGAAAGTTTCAAACGCATCTTTTCCTGTTGGGCAGAAAAACATCAACTTGTGCAAGATGGAGGGAGAGAAAACGCTTTAGTTGAAGAGAAGTGGTTTCCTTCCTTTTTTTTCAGCAGGCACTTTTCCACAAAGAACAATTGATTGCTTCCTAAAGTAAGGAGCCTAGAGATTCCAAAGGTTCTCAGAGATCATTTTTGAAAGTGCCTTCCTGGGTTCCCTTCACTTTTGGACTGTGATCTAAATCTTCATGATCAGACTGGCTGGGTTTCATGAAAGGTTTAGCCAGTTTATGAAAGGCTTAACCATTGCAATGCACAACTGCTACAGTTTGGTTAGTCTTAAATTTTGTAATTGATCAGCCTATTGTGTTAATTCATGATTTGAGGTGGTCTGTGAATTGGGTGAAATATCAGGTTATGCATGTTGTGGGAACCCTGCCTCGACTAAACTCCACAACCTCAGAGGTGGGGAGAATTTGAAGTAACCTGTTTCTCTCAGGAGTACCTATATTATGCTTAAGCACATTTAGTTTAACTTTGAAACCTGGGATCAAATGTCTGTGCATTGAGTGATGTGAAGATGCTCACTATAGGTACAGTACTTCCAAAGGAAGAGCTTTCCAAACACCAGAAGAATAAACAAAGTTGTATTTTTGAAGAATGTAAAATGTGAAATAGGGTTTGCTACCTGCTCCCGTTTGTATAAAATTACTATTGTACTTTGAAATATCTGCAAGGAATTAGAAAATAATTTTTAATTGAAGGCAATATTAGTAGCAATTAAATATTAAATGCTTATTTAAATGTGGTGCCTATAGAAGGTTTCTTTCTTCAATAAATGAATCATTGGGGAGAAGGTACATGCCAGTTCCCGTGCCATTCACTTAGATGGCAGAAAGTGTGCCGAGCCATTCTGTGGGCCTCCAGTCAACAAGAGGGGGAGCAGAGCATTGACATGGACTAAGGGAGTTGGACTAAGAAACAGCTGAAGTTGGAACACCTTTTGCTTCTGCTTGAACAGGGAGCAGCAGGATATCCTGATTCTTTACCTGTTCCCTCCAGGGTGCCATTGTGGGAGCTAGTTTAAACTGCTTAAGTATCCCCTCTGGACCAGAATATCAGGGCCAGGTGCAGCAGGAGGCTGGAGTCAAATGGGAATCAGCACTCATTTCTCATACTGAGGCCTCCACTCTTTTCTTTCATAGTATTTTCATCTCTAATTTCTTTTAGTCATGCAGAACATAAAAAGCAGCAGCTTAATAGAATCATAAGAGCTGCAAGGGATCTTGGAGGTCTTCTAGTCCAACCCCCTGCTCAAGGCAGGAGATCCTATACCACCCGTCAATATTTTCTTGAAAACCTAGCAATGGAGCATCCACAACCCCAAAAGGCAAGCCTCAAGGCCCCTGATCATCTTCACTGCACACTTTCTAGGGCCTCAGCATCTTTTTTGTATGGTGGTTACCAGAGTTGGCCTTGGTATTCCAAGTGTGGCTTCACTAGTGCAGCCTCACTAGCTTTATACTATCCCTCTGCTGATACACCCTAGGACTGCATTGGCTTTTTTGGTGGCTGCATTGGCTTTTTTGCTGCCTCATAAGTGATAGTCTATATCCCCTTCACAGTTATTACTGTTGAGCCTGATACCACCTATTCTACACCTGTGCATTTGGTTTTTCCTGCCTACGTGCAGAACTTTGAGTTTAAGTAAGCCATTGGCCACTGAGCTGCATCTTGTTGTCTAGGGCCCAATGCTCAAGTCTGTCAAAGTCCTTCTGAATTTTGAGTCTATCTTCCTTAAAGCTTAAAGGAGATAAAATAGAAATCCAGCATTTGCACTCAAGCTTCTTGCAAGGCTGCAAGAAGCTCCCATCCCAGCTTCTCTCTCCCAATCTTCCTGTGGTTGCCACCTTTCCTCCCAAATAGAACACTGTACTTTGACCTACAGATGAACATAGGAATTCTATAGTATATTGACTTAGAACAGAGGTATCCAATTCAAGGCCAAATCCGGCCTGTGAGGTGGTTAGATCCGGCCCGTGGGTCTGCCCTGGAAACATCAAAGGACCAGCCCGGACACCTTGGCCTGGCTCAGGCCAACTGAGTGTTGATCTGCTACTCGGTGGCCATCCAGGCCAGGCCATGGCCAGCCTTAGATCTGTGATGGCACCTCAGCTCCACCCCTGGGCATGCACAGAGGCGGTGAGCGTGCGGGGCCTGGTATCCCTGGGGACTGTGTGCTCAGTGCTTCCTTCACTCCAGCCCTCACACGCTTGGAGCCTCCTATTCACATGCCCAGGGGGCAGGGCCAAGTCAGCCCTGCGGATCTAAGGCTGGCTGCAGTCCAGGTTGCTGATCACGCGCCCACACCAGTGTCTCCATGCCCCCTCAACCTTTCACTGGGGCCACCCCACCCCCACGTGGGAGAGCCATGCTGCCAATCTCTCCCCCTTCCCTCATTCCTACCTGAGCATGGAAGAAGGAGGAGATGAGAAGGGAGATGAGACCCCTGGGGCTTCTGCCTGCCAGCGCGCGGGGGGTGGTACGAGATTGCACAAGCTCTGGGAGGGACGTAGAAGGCGGACGGCGGCTTCTGGCATTGCGGGGTGGCGGGGGAGGTGACGGGAAGAAAAGATCAGGAGAGAAGCTGGGATGGGCACCTTTTGCAGGGGACTGAGGCTGAGAAACAAGCAACTTTCCTTGGCTGGCATTTGGCAGCCTTCCATCACAGGGGTTTGTGTGTGTGTGTGCGCGTGCAGGGGCGGGGGAAGGTGTCGCCTTGCAGCCCCACGCCCTCAACAGAGACCTGCCTATAGGAGGCTACAAGTTAATGACAGCTATTTTTTTTGCCATGCTTGTTTCTTTTTCTCAATCCCCAGCTCCGTGGAAGGCTGCAAGAAGCTCCCATCCCAGCTTCTCTCTCCCAATCTTCCTCTCCAATGTCACAGCACTGGGCTGCAAGGGAGACACAAACATACACATACAAGTCTGGGAGAAGTGAGCTGAAAACCAAGATGAGGCAACAATGGGGGAGCGGTCAAAATGGGAAACCTCTGCTGGGACCCTCTGGCAGTTTACAAAAAAGAAGAGAGGAAACTTGGTTGGAGATGCCCCATTTCAAAGGAGAAAGCAATTTTGTGTTCTGTTTTGTCGCAGACAGAACTTTGTTGCCAATCCAAGTTAACATTGGTATTTTTGAACTGTGAGCTCTAAGGAACATATCCCCTCCATGTGTGTTACAAACAGCCATTTCCAATGGGGAAAACAGGACAAAACTCTGCTATATTTTCAGTCTCAATTAGACCATGGCAGGCTCTCTACTGGAGAGCCCTTTTAAGGATGAAGTATTAATAGAAAAGCAACTAACTTACCTCTGTTCCTAAACGCTAAAACTGTTGCACATAAAAAACGGAGGACTATGATCAACTGTCACAGCCACCGTTTTGACAGTTTGCTGTTGTCTTGTGGACTCTCCCACTAAATGCAAGCATGGGATAAACTGAGCCTGGTTTGTTCTCAGTCTTTGGCCACAAATTACTAGCAAAAGTGACATTTGATCACAAGGCAAGGAGGTATTGAGAAATGTGTCTCCTTTTGCATTTGAGCATCCAAAAAGGGGCAGGAAAGAAAAAGAAGGAAAAGGGGGAAAGCAGTGAAGGGAAAACAAGGAAAGAGGGGAAGAAAGGAAAAGGGAAGCAAAGAGAAAAGGGGAAAAGGAAGGAAGATCATAATGAGGGAGTCAGATTCTGAGGAAAGTCCTGCCTTAGCATTTGGCTACCAGCAGCCCTGCTGCCCTTTCGCCATCCCCTTGTCCACTCTTCCTGACCTCTCCTAGTGGTCTCCCATCTTATTGTTCGGGATGCTTTGCTTACAAAGCCGGGTCTCCTTACATGGAAACGGACCCACACTTTGCCCTTCCACGCACACTATGAGCAACCTGCCCAAGGAGAGCGAGCATAGCGACAGCAGCCTTGAGGAGTGGGGAAGCGGGGCTGGGCTGTGGTGTCCCAGTGCCCCGGGAGCTCAAGGGCCGGGCTGGCTGCTTGTCCCCCACTGCCCAGGCGGCCTCCGTATGGCCCGAGAGGGACGGCGAGGCTCCCCTGGACGCAGCGGTTTAACCACCGGTTCTGTGAGCGGACGCTTCCATGGTCTCCAGCAGTCTCTTTCGAAGCGTTCGGTCTGTAACTGCGGCTCCCTGATCTGCGTAGAAGTTTCCCATCCAAACAAAGACGTGCCCCGGGATTCCCGTTCTTTCTGAGTGCTCGACAGACTCGGCGCAACGAGGGGCTTTTCTACCCTCGAGGACAGGCACGGCGACCGCCTTTTGCGCGCTCTCTGGCTTCCTCAATGACCCAGTGTTGGGATTACCCTCAGCAGCATTGCAGCGACGGAGGAGTGGAACTGATGTACGGTAGCTTTCTGAAGAAGCACGAAGGGCGGGAGACGTTGCCCAGCAAGCAAGGCAGTTGGACTCCCTGCGGTTCCCCGGCCGGTGAAAAATAGGAACTCGACGGCGCCTTGCTACGGCATCGCCTCTTCCGGGACGGGGGAGGATGGCGAGGGGCCGCTCGGGCCATGCCTCTCGGTGGCGGGGCGGAGCGCCGGAAGTGCGTACCTGGCGCCGGAAGAGCTGCGGATGCCGGTCGCTTTGGGGCGGTGTGGGCTGTGGGGCATGCTGGCGGGCCCGATGGCGCGGGGGCGGCTGCTCCCTGCCTGCGCGGGCGCTGAGCGGCGCGTTTGCCTGCTGGAGGGCGCGGGCCAGGCGGCGCGGTCGGCGGCGGCGGCGGCTCTAAGCGAGGGCGGGCTGGTGGCGGTACCCACCGACACGGTCTACGGCGTGGCCTGCTTGGTGCAGAACTCCGCGGCCGTCGAGGCCCTGTACCGGCTGAAGGGGCGCCCCGCTGGTAAGCCGTTGGCCATCTGCCTGGGCGACGTCGAGCAGGTGCACAGGTGCGCGGGCCGGGAGCGGCGGGAGGGCCGAGGAGGCCGGGCAGCCGCTGAGCCCTCTTCGCCCACAGGTACTGCCGCGTCCCGGTGCCCGAGGAGCTGCTGCGAGATCTCCTGCCCGGTCCCGTGACGCTGGTGCTGCCGCGCTCGGACGCCCTCAACGCCGACCTGAACCCCTTCACGCCGGTGAGCGGCGGCGGCGGCGGGCGGATTGCGCTCTTGGGGCTGGGCGGTGGCCCCCACACACAGCGCCCCCCGCCGAGGTCGATTGGGCACCTCCCTTCAGCAGCGCGCCTCTCTCTTCCCCTCCTGCAGCTGGTGGGCGTCCGTGTCCCTGATCATCACTTCGTCCGGGAGCTGGCCAGGGCCTGTGGCGGTGCTCTGGCTTTAACCAGCGCCAACGTCAGCGAGAGGGCGAGCAGCATCACCGTTACAGTAAGACCGGCTCTGGCCCTGACCTCGCAGCATGTTTGGAGCTACTCCTGGGCCTGTTTCAGGAAAGCCTTAAATTAGGGCACCCCTTTTATAGAAGAGTGCTTGCTTGTGAGAAGTTTGCTTGAGGTCATCTGGAACTCGCCATCCTTGTGGTTCTTTGCTCTGTACCTTCTTGCTCATTGATTGATTTAATGCATGGGAAAACAGCTATGAAAACAAGCTGCCGCCAATGCAATAATCACAGTATACAGCAATAATTAATACAATATTTTTGGCACTGGGAGCTCTACAACATTCAAGCCCCAAAGGGCTTCCAAAGCAGCCATGTTTTTTTCCACTTGCCTGAGACCAGGAGGAGTTATTCCAGAGGAAAGGTGCCCATCCATTGCACATCTCAAATGGGATGTTTAGCAGACATTCTCTGTTTTTGGATTGGGCAGGCACAGTTTCAATCTTTTGCTTAGACCAGAATCCTGCCTCCCTTTCCCATGCTTTTGTTTCCCAACCCACCCACCCACTTTCCCTACAATATTTCCTGTGAAGTGTACTAAGCAGGTTCTAGGAACTAATTTCTTATGTATCTTTTATTCAGGAATTCCAGGAGCTTTGGCCTCATCTTTCACTGGTCATCGATGGGGGTCCAACTGGGGATGCCCTTAGTCCCGAGTGTCGTCTAGGCTCAACTGTGGTTGACCTCTCCATCCCTGGAAAATACAGGGTTATTCGACCAGGATGGTAAGCCACCCATTATTTTAGGGTTAAGTAGCTTGTGTGAGTTATACTTGCTTCTTATGAAGGGGAACCATTTTTGTGGTCCAAAGGAGTTGATGATTCAAAATAGATGCACTTAAGCAGGCTTCTCCTTTCTACACATGACTTGTGGATTGGGGAAACCCAAGTTATTGTACTAACTGTGATTGTTCTCATTGCATTCCAAAATATTACAGCAGGAATACCCCGGCTCTATTTTGTATCTTCTTCATTTTTTCTATCTTCTTCATTTTTTTTCCAGTGCACTTACTCAAACTGTTGAAATCCTGGCATCCAAGTATGGATTGAGGGCTGAGGAGTCTGGATGCTGAAATATTGGACCTTAGGGACACTGAAGTGCTATCTACCAGTCTTTTCCCAGCCAAGAAAGTAAACTGTTTATGTGACCATCATGATTGCAAAGGGACTGTCCCTTAGGTGACATCCTGGATGCTGTGACTTTGAGGACTGTGGCTAAATGACTGAATTTCCTTTAAGACCTAAAATTGCAGCTATTTCTGGTTGCCTGAAATATTTCTGTCATCTGGTTTGTCACACAGACTAAATAACTTTTTTTCTACTTTTTCCTACTCTGTCTAAAGAAGCAAGCTTATGTGATCCTGCAAGGAAATTTGGAATAATTCAGTTGGGAACACATTGTATAATGTGGGAGTGTGGAATGCAGAGGGTTGAATATAGGACTAAATAAATGAGTGGCCTCGGTTTGACCCTTCTCATACCCTAACAAGGGTCTTCAAACTTGGCAAGTTTAAGACTTGTGGACTTCAACTCCCAGAATTCCTGAGCTAACATGACTGGGGGGGGGGATTCTGGGAGTTGAAGTCCACAAGTCTTAAGCTGTCAAGTTTGAAGACCCCTACACTAACAGTAGGACCAATGTCATTAAATGAAAAGTATGCAATTTATGTGGCATTTTTTTCTATAACAACAGGATCTAGGTAGGGTTGAACTCAATTATTGCATGGATAGGAGACCATCAAAAATAGCAAGGCAATAAAGTAGATGGAAAATCAGAAAAACACTTCGGGAAAAGTCAATGGCAGATTTTCTGCCAAGATAAGAATTCAAAAAGATTTTCAAGTTGGGATTGACCTTGAATGGCCTATTACAGAAAAATTTTAAGCTGCTGAATGAGAATAATTTTCTCAGACAGCATAACAGTTACTGCAGAGAAAATAAATTTGTCTTAACTGGGCGATGGGTTTTTGCCATGTCTTTATCCCCCAGAATTGTTGATGGGGGCAAGTGCATACTATTCCATGTGCTCTGAAAATAACATCTAAAATGGAAGTAAAGGCTTCTATTAATTCTATTTACATCTGCAATCTATTTATACAGTTAGTTCCTGTTTAGAGTCCCAAGAACTACAAATTTACATTGCCCTGCAGTTTCCTCACTGAAGGTTTTGGAACGCCTCAAGGGCTGCAGGTCTAACAGGAAAACTCTTTTTCAGTCCGAAAAGAATAGAGAGGAGCAGTTGGTCAATCCAGCTCAGCGGAAGGCGGCAGGGGGACTGGTGCTCCCCGAGGAGAGGTTTGGCAGAGAGAGCTGTTTGTGACGGGAAGTAGCCCAGGAGGCTCTCCGCTCCCATCAAGGCGTCCATCGCCTTTAGATAGGTGGGTCGGGCGTCTCTCGGGCTTAAACGGCTGCCGGCCAGCCTCTGACCCGGAAGAAAAGGACGCGCCAGTCGCAGGGAGTGGGGGCGGGGAGGAGGCGACCGGAAGAGGCGGAAGGAAAGAAGAGTTTCCGCCTGCAATCTAGAGACGCGCGTCCTGTCCTTCCCGGAGCGCCAGCCAATCGGGGGGCCGGGGCTATGCCGAAGAGGATGTTGACGGCGGCGCGGCGTCATCCAGTCGGGGATGTGCGTCCTCCGTGAGCAGCACCGGGGCTGGCGGGACACGCTGGCCACCTGCCTGCCGCTGCTGCGGGCCCTGGGCAACGTGGCCCGGCAGGCGGAGGCGGCGCGGAGGGTATCCTTCGGAGAGACGCCGCTGCGGGCCTTCGCGCGCCTGCCGGAGCGGCTGCGACTGAAGCAGTGGGCGGCCATAGAGGCGGTGCTGGCGGAGCTGCGCCGGGAGAAGCTGTAAGGGCCGCCGCCGCCCCCCCTCCCTCTCCCTACTGGGCCTGGGCCGCCGCCTCCCTCCGCTCCACTTCTCTTGGCAGGCCGGCGCTGCGGGAGGCTCGGGATGCCGTCGGCGCGCGCCTGGTGCGGCTGCTGGCGCTCGAAGGGCCCCGCGAGCCCTTCCCGGCCTGGGCCGGGCTGCTGGCCGGGCTGCTGGACGCCGAGGCGCTCTACCACGCCGTGTATCCTTCGGCGCGCGGGGGAGGGCGGGCGGAGGGGGCCGGGCGGCCGCTGAGCCCTCCTTAACTGGCCCGGCCCAGGTACTTGGAAGCGCGGCTGCTGTTGCTCTCGCTGAGCTACCGAGACTTGGCGGGGTTGCAGGCGGCCCCTCAGGCCTGGGAGCGGATAATGCAGCACGGGTACCGGAGAGACCGCCTGGAAGGTAGCCGCCCGACGGAGGCCTTTCCTGCGATGCCGTTGGGGGAGGGCCAGAAAGGACGGCTGGCATCCTCCCTTGGGAGGCTTAGGGGCCCAGGAACACCCTGGCTCACTTTGGGCGTATCCCTCCCTCCCCAGCATGGTTCTGAGGAGAAACGGGAGGAAGGATGCTGCGGCTCGTGAAACCAAAGAGCCGTGGCCGATGTTTGACCCAAAGCATTTTTTCTTCTTTTGCCCAGAAACGTTGCTGAAAGCCACCTTCTTTCTGGAGGACACCGCCACTGACACATGAGAGCCCAAAGCAGCGGCAGCAGCAGCCGCTTGTTTGCTCCCCCCAGTGGAGGATTCTTCCAGGCCAGCCCTGCTATCTGAAGGCCCCTGGACTTGGAGTCTGCCCTGCAGGATTGAGTGACTTTTGCAGCTCAGACTTAAATTTCCACCCTGGAGCCTCTTTTCCAATCTGGAGCCCAGTTCTTAGAGGCACCTCAACATCACCGTAAATAAAAATGATTTCCTGTCCTCAAGGTGTCCACGTTCTCTTTTAGAGCAGCAGGCAGGGCAGGGTCTAGTTTTGCCAAAAGGAGAAGACCGCAGATGTGCTGGGTTCTCTTTCAGGAATTCTGTGGCGAGGAGTCCATTGTTGTAGCTCATTCCTCCGTTTGCTGCTCAGGGCAGAGCTGCTTTTGTACAGGAGAAAAAATAGTTGCCATTTCCTATGCCTTGCAAAGATGCAGCTGGGCTCGTAGGCTAAGCATAGTTTACAGCATTGGTTCCCAAACTTTTTCAGTTCACCACCCACTTGGTGCTACAAACTCATCCTCGGTGCCCCCCACCCAGGGGTGGGATTTAAATTTGTGGCCTAATTTGAGGGTGTGGCTTGCTGGCTGGGTGTGGCTTGCTGGTCACATGACCATGTAGGTCTGGTTTGATGGTCATGTGACTGGGAGGGCGTGGCCAGGTGACTGGCAAACCAAATACAAGTGGTCCTCACTTAATGGCCGGTTGTTTAGCAAGTGAGAGAGGGAGAGGGAGGGAGAGAGAGAGACCAAGACCTGATGCATCAGATTGAAATGAGATCTAGTTTAGTCTGAGGCCCCTTTCCACATTGAAACCTCTTTGGCTTCTATTAAAGGTTTTGTGGACGAAACATGGTCAAGACTATCAGGAAGCTCACACATTTTGTTGAGGCTTTAAACAGGATCCATTGGACCAGACCTCCACCCTAAAAAATTACTTTTCCTCAATGTTTTAAAATGCCAATTCTGAAGAAGGCAAAACCAAAATGTACTGGTAAATTACAAGAACACACACACTCCCTTCTAACCCTGCTGGAGCAGGTCATTGGACTAGAATTGGCAAAGCTTCTCTGATTAGATTCTAGTAGTGAATAAAACCTAATCAGAGATGCTTTGCTGATTCTTGTTGATTTGTTTTATTTTTATTTCTTTATTTTATGTTGCTGAATTGCATTACATGTGTGTCCCTTCGTGTGCACAACCCAGAAGCTTTGCAGCAAAAATTACTGACCTCTGGCTTTGCTTGACTTTTCAAACGTGCCACCACTGCCACGTTTTAGGTGCCAGCCCCGCAGGTCCACCCCATTGAGCCCACTGCACCGGAGGGACTTGCCCAAGCAAGTCCGAGCGAAGCAGTGCACCAAGTCAATGGGGTGAGCCTGAGAGAGGGAAAGAGAGAGAGAGAAAAGAAAGAGAAAGAGAGAAGAAAAGAAAGAGAAAAGGGAAAGAAAGAAAAAGGGACAGATGAGGAAAGGGGGGGATAGAAGGAAGGGACAGAAAGTAAAAAATAAACAAAGAGGGAGGGAGGAGAAAGATAATTAGATATCTATTCTAGTCCAATCACCTGTTCCAGCAAGGTTAGAAGGGTGTGTGTGTGTTCTTGTAATTTACCAGTACATTTTGGTTTTGCCTTCTTCAGAATTGGCATTTTAAAACATTGAGGAAAAGTAATTTTTTAGGGTGGAGGTCTGGTCCAATGGATCCTGTTTAAAGCCTCAACAAAATGTGTGAGCTTCCTGATAGTCTTGACCATGTTTCGTCCACAAAACCTTTAATAGAAGCCAAAGAGGTTCCAATGTGGAAAGGAGCCTCAGACTAAACTAGATCTCATTTCAATCTGATGCATCAGGTCTCTCTCTCTCTCTCTCTCTCTCTCCCTCTCTCCCTCTCCCCCTCCCTCTTTCCCTTTCTCTCTTTCTCTCTCTTCCTCCCTCCCTCCCACACTGGGTTTGCTCTACTTTCCCAATGTGCCTGCGGGGCCGGCGCTTCGAACATGGATGGATGGATAAAGACAGAGATAGGTAGGTAGGTAGATATTGGTAGATAGGTAGACAGAAAGGCAGGCAGGTAGGAAGGCAGGCAGGCAGACCTTTTGGATGGATGGATGGATAGACAGACAGAACATGACAGCAGCGGTACTTTGGGAAAGTAAAGCAAAGCCACTGTCACCGCATTCGAGGCGCCGGCTCCAGAGTGGTGCAATAGTCAATGGGGCGAGCCTGCAGTGCCGGCGCCTCGAACGCCCCCCTGCCGCCTTTTAGCACTCCTCTTCCAGCCCCCTTGGGGGTGCTAAGAGGCAGCAGGGGGGCATTCGAGGCTCTGGCACCGCAGGTTCACCCCATTGACTGTTGCACCGGAAAGGTGCAAGGGGCTCAATGGGGTGAGCCTGAGGAGCCGACGCGTTGAACGCAGTGGTGGCACATCGCAAAAGTACAGCAAAGCTGCTTGCCATGGGCTTCCTCAACCCTGCCCTGCTCCAGGAAGGAGGGAACAGCACCACCCTCTATGACGTGAGTGCCCCGAGAGGGCGGGCATCTTGGGAGGCCAGGGGGCAGGAGGGACACCCTGTGAACTTGCTGTCAGGCACGGCAACTACAAAGAGGGGCGGGCTTGGCTGAGCCCCCCCTTCCTCTGCCTCCCCCTAGGACGGGTCTGCAACCTTAAACACTCAAAGAGCCATTTGGACCTGTTTCCCACAGAAAACAAAACACCGGAAGCCCCAAGACATAGGTGGGCGTGGCAACTCAATGTCACTCCCACTGAGTCACATGACCCCCCCCAGGTTTTATGGTTTTATATGTTTTCTATGGGGAACATGTTCTCTCTCCCTCCCTCCATCCTTTCCTCCTCATCTCTTTCTCTCTCCCTCTCCTCTAACTTTCTTCCTCTCTATGCCTCTTCCTCCTTCTCCCCCACTCCCCACCCCCCCTTCCCAACTCCCACACCCAGGGAATAACTAAGGAAATTTGGCCAGGTTCTTTCTGTCTCTGGAAAGATACAAAAATAAACCTTGCATTCCAAAAGGAGTGACAGTCAGGCTGTTACCTCACAGTGCTACGAGGTTGCTGCCTTAGATCACTGCTGAATCCTTGCAAAACTGGGCAA